AAAACATTTTATGTGTGTCCTGATAGTTCTTTTAGCATTAAATGGAACAGTTTAAAGGGTCTGCTAAGGAAGAAACATCTATATTGCTTAAATTGATGTCTGTAATCATTTGACTTTCAAATAACATGACACGAAATGCAAATGGAGAGACAAGAGAGTTGCCAGCTATTACCATGTGGCATAGCAGCTCCAGTAAATATAATCTATTATTAATCATGGTTATTGATTAGGATAAATCCCCTCCCTCCCTTCTCAGATAATGCATAATTCAGCAGTCTTTGCAAACCAACAAATTAGCTTTTGGGGCACACAATAGCTGTGTACATCATCTTAAATACGAAATCAAAATGCCAATGGGGTTTAAACCATTAATTAAGATTACATTTTCATAACGTTTTAAGCATAAAATTTACCATGTCTCTAACCCTGTGCCACAGGTACCAGAGCAGGCAGCACTGCAGAGCTTTTCAGCAAACATTCACACAGTACAGCAGATCTTAGAAGAGGCTGCACGTTTACTCAAACTCCTTTGGAGAGTTTCCCTTCCACTGAAAGGTGTACACGGTACCACACATGGCACTCAGGTACTTCATTTGCGGGGGGGGGGAGTTGTGGGGTTTAGTGGGTTTGGTGGTTGGCTGTGGGTGTTTTTACCTGTTTGGGGTTTTTTTCTTGTGTCATTTGGGAAAAATCTTTTGAAACCCCTGAACCTTGGATGTCTTTGGCCACATGGATTTACAGCTCCCATCACTGAAGGCTAAGGCTGAATGTGTGCTGGCTTTCTATCATATTGCATATGGAGGTGTTTATTTACACTTCTATTTGCCTATGCTTTATAGTACAGAGGTAATCTGTAATGAAGGAAATACAGGAAACCCAGGCAGGCAAATGCTCCATTTCATCAAGAAAAGGTTTGGAGTCCCCGCTATAGAACCCGATTCAATTTGTTTATGTATATCCTAGTAACAAGAGAAACTTCAGCAACTTGATGTAAAAGGAGAATGTAGCTCAGATTACATTTTGGATGCCTAAGATGTAAAATAGCATGCTTTTTTACAAGTGTGACAAAAGCCCCAGACAAGTTTTATAACATTTTAACTAAAAATGATTGCACTGTGCAAATGAATGGAAGTAAACTGAATGAGGAATGAATTATCTATACTGTCATAATACCACCACTCAGCAATGAAACTGTTTCAAAGTCTGGCCTGAAAATGAATCTAAAGTGTTTTCACTGAGGGGTTTCTGTATGTGTTTCCTTAAAAGAAGCAGGATATTGCTGGGAAAATAACCCCAAACGTTAGGAAAAGTAAATATTTTCTATATCATTTTCATAACATTTTTGCTGTTATTTTCTAGCATCCTTCAATGTGTAAAATCATAAAAGCAGTAAGAATGAACTCTGCTGTCTAATATATTCACTGATGTTTCAGCTCCATATTTAGGATGTCTTGACAAGTGTGTATACTTCCATTTTTATCATGTGTATAATCTATATAGACAGCTTTATATTGGCCTGGATTGCAGTATCTGAACATAGCTCACACACATGGTGTGTGATGCATCTGATGCTTTAATGTTAGAGAGATCTTAAACCTTCTTGATCTGGATCAGTCACTTCTGAAAATCCAACCTTAACATGTGGAGTATCTGAATTCCCAGGACTGCACCTAATTAGAGCCTAATAGAATCTTTCCTGGAGTTTCTTATCTAACATCCTGAGATCTTAAGGATATTAGATTGTTTCTGATGTCTTTAAATGCAGTGTGTCTCTTCAAGCTGGAGTCTAAAAGATACTGAGCATTCACTGCCTCCTCTTCAGCCCCGCAGGAGTTGTGAGTAATCAGTTCTTCTGAAGAGCTAAATGCCAGGGGCAAATTCCAGAAGATACTATTAGTTAACAAGTGGCACAACAAGAAAAGAAGTAAATGTACAAGCTTAAGTTTGCATGAGAATCAAGATCCATGATGCTGGCAGATTATGTCAGGGCTGCTCATAGTCCTGTTTTACAAAATACTGATTTGGTTGGAATGGTGAAAACTGAAGCTTAAATGGTGACACTGTTAAATAATTTTGCAGTAGAACTGTCCCAGTCATCTGTACAGTGTTTTTTAGCTCTTGAACGAAGGCAGCATCAACTATTAACAGCACATTGGAGAAGGAAGCTGGAAGCTCTCAACCTGGTAGGCAGGATACTTGCTGATCCCATAGCCCTGGCCTTCCTTACATTTTCCAGTTGAGGAGGACAGAAAAGGAAGAGAGGTCTGGAGGCTGAAAACCAAAAATAGACACTGGTGTTAAGGCTTTTCTCAGAACTAGAAGGAAAATGAATTGCAGTAAAAGCCAGTTAAGAATTACAGTTGTCTCTTGGCAGATATCATAGGAAATCATGGATATCACTGGGGAAGCGAGCATAGAAGGACAATCAGTGATGTTTCACTCCTCTGAGGAAGCTTAAAGGCTCTTATACAAAAGTATTTAGCAATGCACAATATACTGTTATATAATACTGATGTGTGTGTGTGTGTGTATATAAAATATATATAATACTTTAATATTACATTTTCTTCTCTCAATTTAGGATGATGGAATGAAAGCAGAAATATTTAGATTACGGAAGAAACTGTCTGAGCAAGAGAAGAAGTTACACAGCACAGTGAAACGCTTGCACTCCACAAACCAGCTGAAGGAAAACATGGAGAAAGTCATCATTGACCAGCGTAAGTGTATGCTTTATTACTGGTTCTCGTTTGATTTTTGTAGTCTGTGGCTACTTCTAAAATTGGAGAAACAAGAACATGGATTTTTACAAGGCTCTGTAGGGACAGGACAAGGGGGAATGGCTTTAAACTGACAAATGGGAGATTTAGATTAGACATCAAGAATCTCTTCCCTGTGAGGGTGGTAAGATGGGCACAGGTTGCTCGGAGAAGCCGTGGCTACCCTATCCCTGGGCAGGGATTGGAACTGGATGAGCTTTAACGTTCCTTCCAACCCAAACCAGTCCGGGATTCTACTAAATGATGTACAAATTACTTGTATTAAATCCAAAATTATGTTTTGTTCAGGTTTTAAACTCAAACTGCTCAGTTTGGGGTTGTCATACAAAAATCAAAGCTATTCTGGCATGTCTGTCCGAATAATATCCCTGGGGTTATCTGCTGGTTTTCATTTGGTCAGTTCCTACTTCCAGTGACATCTCAGACGTACTGGGTAATTCCAAGAGTATAAATCAGCAGAGATTTTACCCTCCTGGCCAGAATGGTATCCCCACAGCCTCTCCGTGCTCTCAGAAAGAAATACATCTCCCCCTTAATTTACTCACTCCTTTTCAGGACATTCAACCTCATCTAAACTAGGTCCTTATAAAACAAAGCCTGTGTTTCCTGCAATTTCCACAATGCAAACTATTGGCTGGCTAGCAGCAGCTTGGCTGATAGAGGATGTGACACTGAAGTCTCTTCATGTACTGAATTTAATATTTTTGATTTAGAAAAACCTAGTTTGCCAGGTGAAATGACTTTACTAGCGGAGTTCTTTATGAGCACAGAGCAATCTGCTACACAGAAAGACCTAGATATGATTTTCTGTGAGTTTCACTGATTGTGGGAATTATGGATGTCAGATTACCTTTGCCTTTAAAGAGCAATTTCAGAAAGGTTTCTAAATTGCATCTGTACACAAGTTCCTGGCCAAGCATACAACAAAACTGGGGGATCATAGGAAGCTGCTGGATTTTGTTAGGATGCTTACACTTAGTTTTGGTATTTCTTCCTTTCTCCTTCACTAGTAAGAGCAAAAGCATCACAGTAGGTGACTTTGCCTGCCTTCATTCTCCTAGCATCCTGTTAGCTGGCCAGTCCACTGAGGATATTCAGGTTGCTTCTGTTATTTAGTTGAGCATTCCTAAATCTATTTAGAGGCAGAGACTGGAACATTCTGGTGGCTCAGAGTCTTCTGTATGCTTTCTCTGGCGAGAGAACTCATTGCTTATAAACCTCATCTGAACCTCTGAACATGTAACAATGCAGTGCCAAATTGCAGTAATCTGCCAAGGGTATAATTATCTCCTGACAGCTATACCCTTGGAGTTGTTGGATTGTTATTATTGTAATGAAAAATCTTTATTATGGCTAAATTGTTTATTTTTGAGACTGGGATATTCAATTGGTACTTGTGAATGGTATTTTTCCACAGTTATGGACCTGACACAGATTAGAGAATCACATTATTTAACCTGGCATTTCTAAAGATTAGTTTTGTTTAGAAGCCTCCCCTCCTCCTTTCACAGGTCTCATGCTGTCCCCACAGAGGCAAAGTAGCTGAACACAGGAAACTTGGAAGCCTTCAGAGCAAGCCACTGACATAATTTCCCCTAAGCATATATAGCTTGCTTTGTCCTTGAACTGTTGGAGGATCTAGCTTCCTTCTGCCATCTGTCCCTTTCCCAATGCATCATTCCACATAATCTCTCCACTGCACAGTTTTTCTCTCTTTCACAGACCAAATTAGCTACTGAATAGATCAAATTGTAGTTAGATCATGTACCACCTCCCCTTAAAATTAACAGAAAGTCTTCCTTTGATGACTTCTATCAAGGAAACCAGGTCATCAGTATTGCAGGTGGCTGTTCATGTCTATGACATTAACTGTAGTGATGAGCTATGGCTGTTTTCACATGTATTGTTCTTATGGCAGAGAAACTAAAAGCACTTCCCTAATGTTTAGATTTGAAAATCAGATCCTGCACTAGATGACACATAGATTGGGGATAGGAAGTGCCATTTCAGCACGTGTCCTTCTGCTCTTCCCTAACCATCTCCTAGAGCAGCACTGCCCCTTAATCTGGGGTTGATGCAGCTGGAGGGTTGTACTGCAGCCTGAGCTTCTTAACAGGGCTCAGGAGGGAGAAAACAGTTCTGGGTTTTGGTGAGTAGAAAAGTGGAAGTGGTGTGTGATTGCCGAGTTGCTAGTTACATACCTTATTAGGACTTGAACAGAGAAAGTCTGTGCAGTGTTCTTCTGATTCTCCTCTTTCTTTCCAGTGGCTTTAACTCATGATGTCTTGAAGAAGGCTAGAGGAAACCTGGAAGTAAGTACAGTTTTTGGGTGCACTTAATGCCTTTTTATGTACTCATTAAAAATACGCATTGCTGTGTTAGTAGTATTCTGCAGGATTGGTCTGATTTGATTTAGATTTGCTGCCTAATCCATCTGGGTGGCAGCAAGTTAGTAATATTCTGCAGTATCTGATGTTTGAATCAGTTTTATGACTGATCACATCAACCTGCTCCTTGCTGATGCTTTCTGTACATTAATACTCATCTGTCATCTTCTTCCAGTAGTTTTATTTCAGCAGATCACAGTCCCATAACTTGCCAGCTGAATAAGTTCAAAGACACTATTACTTAAAGCTTGTGTATGTATTAATAACTAGGGGTGCCTTTATTTAAATATAGACCCACAGGCAAAGCTTTTGCAAACAGCTATTTGCTAATGCAGTGTATTAAAGTAATCACTGTTCAGATTTGATTTCTCCTAGAAGTTTTGGACTCTACTCCCAGGAGGATGCAATACACCTCCTGACTCCTGCATCCCCTCCTTCTCCTCATGCCACTCCACTCAATGATTGTACATTTCCCAGCCCCTCCTTAAGTTTTACTCTGACCTTTCCCATGCATCCCTTTACCTCACCTTCCTGACCGCTGTGTGGGTGCTGTCCTGTTGTCTCAGCCCTATGTGAGTTAGAAAGTGGTGACATAATAAAACTCTTTCTACTTACAGAAATCTTCTTATAGAAGCTGCTATTTGCAGATCCTTTTGCAGCAGCATGGCCCAGGGGTAGGGACAAACTGTGTGCACTTGAAGTACTATAAAATAACAATAATTGTTGCTTTTCTCACCAGGTCCCACCAGCTGAGAATCAAAAATCACCTTCCTATACCAGCAAGAAAAGATTTCTCTGAAAGAGAAGATTCCACTCATAGAGACTGCTCCTGTGATTGCTCTTTGCTTCTTTATGCCTTACTATTTATTGATGTAAAAACGTTTGTTCAGCTCTTAATGGAATCAGCCTTTGACCAAAAATCCAACAATAATCTTTTGGTAAATAACTTATTTAACATTTTCTGTAATGTAAAAGATTTTTTTTAATATTTATTACAGAAAAAAGGTACTGGAGAAAGTGAAAAATCCAGATTTTTTTTTTTTTTTAAAGTTGGCTCGTTTGAAATTTTATATTTGTACTTGTCCTGTTAGAAAACTATTTGTTGTTATAAACAGGTCCTGAAAGAATCACAGATGTGATTCACCTTCCACACTGTTTGTCTACTGCTAAAAGAAGGTAGGTTAAAAGAATAATAATGCTGGCAGTTGTCATTGTTTTGTAGCACTGTGAGAAATGTTCACTATTTTATAGCATTTTAAACTTATCTGGAAGGTCCTTCTGGAGCTTTCTTCCCTCCCTGTTAGAAACTTAGGTCGATGCTAAGTCTGATGATGTTACTTAGACAATTAAAATTGAACATCATCACAAATGTGTTTGTGTTTAACTGTTCTATGACTCTTTGTTCAGTGAGTACTCAGAGTTGGAAGGGACCTTAAAGATCATCTAGATCCAAGCCCCTGCCACGGGAAGCCACAGTAGAATGGAATGAATCCAATTCAGTCCTTCATGATATGTCTGTAAGGTACAGACAAGGCTTGTCCTGGCTGAGCGGGGATGTTGGAAACTTGCTTTCAACAACACTGAATACAAAGACCTCATGCTGTTGGTAAAACATCAGTGTTACCCCACACCTCCACTGGGATCTGTACAGAGATGCAGAAAGCCACGAGGGACACAGCCCGACAGGTTTGTAATCCATTTTTGTCCTAAAAACACTGAAAAATGTTTCATATAAATTCAGTTAAGTCCTTTACTGGGGTTTTTATGTCCCGTATTGATACATAGAAGTGGTAATTTGGCAAGGCCAGAGAACACAAGCATAAAACATGCCTTCATGCTCCTCTCATGCTGACTGCCTGCAACCTGCTCTCAGTGTCACTAAGTAAGTGAACTGGGAAGGTGGTTTAACCCTAAAAAGACCATAATTTAAAGTGATTTTCCTGTTACAAAATAATTTCATGGTACAATCATGGCTTTACTGAACTAAGTGAATTTCTCACTAAGTGTGATTTTTACTCTTTTTCCCCTTGATGATGTCCCATTATAGTGGATAATTCACCCTCATCATCCAAGGTTAGCACCAGGTCTCGGAAATCTCAGTGCAGGTTTGTGGTTATATTGGGTATAACCTGATCTAATGTCCTTGGATATTGCACTCTAGAGAATAACCAATGTGTAGTTTCACAACAGTCAATCTGTGCTTACTTAAACCTGGCTGTGAACACAGATAGCTCTGACACCCACTGAGCTGGCCACGAGACAGGAGCCATTTCAACTACTCTGGTACTACATGCACAACACGTCGAGGACCAAGCCAAGCCAGAATAGCTCCTTCCATGAAAGCTTTGGTGTGTTCAAATGGTTTCCCAACAATTTGATGATATTCAGACAACTGAATACCAGAAAGATGCTCTAAAGCACTTCGGTTCTAAATCACAGCTTGATATTAAGAGGTCAGAGCTGCATCCTCCCTTTGGGCAGCCCTGTGCTCCTAAGCATAGTTGGACACCAGTATAGAGTCATAGAATGGTTTGGGCTGGAAAGGACCTTAAAATCATATAGTTCCAACCCCCTGCCATGGGCAGGGATGCCTCACACTAGTCCATGTTGCTCAAGGCCTTGAACACAGCCAGGCATGGGGCAGCCATAGCTTCTCTGGACAACCTGTGCCGTGAAGCCTTCTGAAGGATGAAAATGGATTTAATAGGAGATCCCATGGTCTTCTAGTGGTGTCATGCTCTGATCTACACTATGTGCCTTGGATATCCCAATATACAGCTCTTACCTGAGTTAGCCTGAGCATCCATCTCACATTGTGGCTGCTGGGACCTTGCACCTCTAGTCCATGGAGGGAGATGAAAGCTCAGTAACACCACGTCGTTGTCCTTAGCTGACAGCAGGGGGAGGCCAACTCCTTCATCTGGATGAGGGGAAAGATGCCAGGAAAAGAAAAGTGGGGAAGTTAAAAATAAACTTTGCAAATTGACAAAAAAGGGGGAGGTAAGGGAAGAGCCGATGCAGTCGAACTCCTTCTTGAGTCTCTTCACACATTATTGTCCTCACAGCTCACTAAAAACATCGAGTTAATTTTACTAAGTAGCTAAATTACAGACACTCAGATGCAATCAGAACCTGCTATACATTCCAACTCACAAAATTAATCACCCCACAGTCTTGAGTTACACCACCTGAAGGAAGCAGCTGTACATCTATATATAGTGTTCCCCTGTCTCTTGGTCCTCTTGCAACCTCTTTTTTCCCCCCTCCATACCATCTGTACTTAAATAATCTGATTAAACGTTTCCCTTCCCTGCCATGATTTGCCACTTATTTCTTTATGGTCCCCGCTGTGCCCTCTTCTCCTGACCCCTTTTTCCTTCCTTCCCATCAGTTCTGATTGCATCCAGCTCCCCATCAGCGTTCACACCCTGCAATGTGCTGAGCAGGTCCCATGGGATGTGGGTGCTGCTGGGGAGTTAAAATACAACCTATAGTGTATCATCACCTCTTTAAAAGCAGATAATCCTCCAAGATCCAAGTATTTCATCTTAATGAGAAGTGCCTCTTAACCACACGTAATTTACTGGGCTGGTTTAATAATAATTAAAAGAAAGAAGGAAAACCACTTCCCAGATGGAGCAGAAAAAGCCCATGGAGTGTTAAACGTGGTTCCCATTAAGCAAAATTGCGTTTTCCCCCTTAAAAATCATTATGCCCAAGAAAAATAAGCAGTGTAAGCAAATGGCATTGTAAAGGAGAGGCTCATCTGCTTCGTGAGCTCCTGCCTGCCTCTGCTCTCATTAGATGTGCAAGGTGAGGGGAGACATTCATTGCTGAGAGAGGAGGTCAGGAACCAGCACTTGAGTAGGTGAGGGGAGAGGCTCAGGGCTGGTGCCATCTTTACCTGTGACCTTGAACCTCCCCGGTGTTGCTGTGTGCAGCAAAGGGGCTTTCTCAGAGAGGATGCTGAAGGGAGGAGATGAGAAAAGGAAAAAGAGAGATGGGAAAAAGGGAAAAGAGAGGGAAGAGGAACAGGAAAGAGGGAAGGTAGGAAAGGGAGGAGAGAAAGGGAGGAGAGAAAGGGAAAAAAAGGAGAGGATAAAAAGGAAAAATAGAAGAGAAAGGGGGGGAAAGAGAAGGGAAGGGGGAGAGAGAGAAGGGAAAGGGGGAAGAAAAAGGAGGGAAAGAGGGTGCAAAGAGAAGGGAAGGGGGAAGAGAAGGGGAAAGGGGGTGCAAGGGGGAAGAGGAGAAGGGGGAAGAGGAGAAGGGGGAAGAGGAGAAGGGGGAAGAGGAGAAGGGGGAAGAGGAGAAGGGGGAAGAGGAGAAGGGGGAAGAGGAGAAGGGGGAAGAGGAGAAGGGGGAAGAGGAGAAGGGGGAAGAGGAGAAGGGGGAAGAGGAGAAGGGGGAAGAGGAGAAGGGGGAAGAGGAGAAGGGGGAAGAGGAGAAGGGGGAAGAGGAGAAGGGGGAAGAGGAGAAGGGGGAAGAGGAGAAGGGGGAAGAGGAGAAGGGGGAAAGGGGTGCAAAGAGAAGGGAAGGGGAAAGGGGGAAAAAGAGAAGGGAAAGGGGGAGAAAGAGAAGGGAAAGGGGGAGAAAGAGAAGGGGAAAGGGGGGGAAAGAGAAGGGGAAAGGGGGGGGGAGAAGGTTTTCTTCTTTCTCTTTAGGCCCCTAGAACATGTGCAGCTCCACAGCAATAAAGGAAGTATTAGAGCAGTGCATTAATGACACATGCATCCCTGGTGCTGCCAGCCAGCCCCGAGCCATCCCTTCAGTGCAGCATGTCTGGGAGCCTGTGCCTGCAGCTTAAGACCAAGGCTGTATTAGGCATAAATCAATGCTAATGCAGTCGGGCGCTTGGAACAGCGGTGCAGCAGAGCCGGGCAGTGGGTTAATCTCAAGAGAAGCTGACAGATCCCATGGGAAGCTCTGTGGGATGTGTCTGCCCAGGAGGAGAGGGATGGATCTGTGATGGGACTGAACTGTGATGGGGATGGGGCTGTGGTGTCTTGGAAAGCCAAGCAGAGGGGACCCCAAGTGTAAAGCCACTCAGATGTAGGCAGAAAGCAAGTCTTGTCGGTGCTTGTAACTGCAACAGAAATGATCTGAGAGGAAAGATAAAGTGGGAAAACCCTTTAGAATCCTATTGCCACCACATCCCAAGTCACAGCAGCCAAAGGCCGACCTCCAGCCACCCTCAGATGTGAGTCCATGGGTTCCCAGAGCTTTTCCACCTGGATAGGTGCTTAAGTCCTGTACCTGGAAGCAGACACATGGCTTTGCCTGACCCTTTGAGGTCAGGCAGCTCATAAGCTGCTTGCATTAAAGCCATTTTGATGCACCCCAGCAAGCACTTGGGGTGATCTGCGCCTCCAGATGCAGGTCCTGCTCTGGATGGGTCAAACACAGGCAGCATCTCGGGGGCTGTCATGCTCTGGCTTAGGGAACTCCATCACTAAGCTTCCCTTATGGGCAGTGCATGGTCTCATCCTCACTTCTGTAACAGCATGGGAAAGAGCTGCTTAATAGCATCAATACCCCCCCCGCCAATGCATTTATCCCTTTCCTATCCTTCTCCATCACCACCTTGGCTGCCCAGGTCCATGTTTGAGCCTGTCTGGAACAGCCACTAGATGGCAAAAGCAGGTTGTGCTGGAGGAGAAGCGGGGCTGCAGCGTGGGGAGCGGGCCATGGACCACGCCGCGCAGAGCCCAGCATCCGCGGCCACCGACCCTCCCCTGCACGAAGCTGCTGCTCTGGGTTTGTGCTTGGTCCTGCTTGTGGGAAGCTGAAATAACCCCAAACACACGGTGCTGGGCATCGTGGAATGGTTTGGGTTAGAAGGGACCTTAAAGCTCATCCAGCTCCAACCCCTGCCACAGGCAAGGACACCTTCCACTAGAGCAGCTTGCTCCAAGCCCTGTCCAACCTGGCTTTAAATGGCATTAAGATGAGATCTGAAGCCAGGCCTTATTCTGTATTAAATGGAATAAAACCCCATAGCAAACAGTCTTAAAATGTGCCTTACATCGAATCACAGCCATCCAGAGGCCTCTGTACAGTTATCAGCATATTTGGTGCTTGCTGAAGTTTTGGTACCCATTCCCCTTGAGGCAAATCAGAGGCCCTTTTCAACAGGCTTTGGTTTCTAAAGCAGAAAATGCCTATGGATGCTCCATCTTTGCCAGCACCAAACCGGTTACCTCTACCTGCAGCAGCATCCCCGCTGGGTTGATGGGCCAACCCCTCATGCTCCAGCACGAAGCTAAAGCAAATCCCGCCCCATCTGGTCCTAAAATGCCGTTTCTCTCCACCCCCAAGTTTAACACTACTCTCAAATCAGCATCTGCATTTCCCACTATGCTGCAGAGCTCCAGAGGGAATTGCTCTTGGAGACGGGCAATGGGCTCCTGCCTCTCCTGCTATCCTGCAGTGCATAGCTTAGAGTTAGCAAGGGTGAAGCACACATGGGGAAGCGGCTTGGTCACTTTATACACTACAGAAGGAAAGAGTGCAGCATCTGCTTGCAGCTTCTCTCTTGCAGGGAGGGGAGGCAGCGTCCAAGGCTGCAAACAGCAGCAGTGGGGGAAGCCAAGGCTGCTCCTGGGCTGCTGACAGCAAGGAATAAAGATTCCAAGTGACTTCAGTGGCCAGTTCCCACCTTTCTGTCCCGTCCTCACCATCCTCTCACATGTGTTTTGCTCTGCTTGCTCCTGTTCTACAGAAGCATCTCTGAATGCAGCATGAGCGCAGAGCTGCATCGCATCTAATTGAAAGTGATAAATAAATCAAGTAACCCTTTTCCCTACCCACAAGTCATTCCTCTTATAAGCTCCCACCAACACAAACTCACACCCTGGACATCTCCATAGGCAGTTCTGGGCTGTCCCCATCCGTCCAGGACCAGCAGAACTGCTGTTACCCCACTCTCTGTTCAGACCTGCTGCTCCACACTCGTCACCTTTACTTCCATATTGACCCCTTTTGCGAGCATCTCTCCCTGTGTTTTAGGTATTTCTCTTGTCATCCCTTTAGAAAGATACTCAGTACAATATCTTCCCCCCCTCCTTCCTTTCTTCCAGCCCCATTGGAGGAATCTACTCGGGTAATTTGTGGCAGCAGCGGTTTGCTGGGCCATGCATTATGCATGAGATGCAATCTTTATCTTTGCGCTCCACTGTGTGCATCCTCAAGCAGGAGCAGCATCGTGCCTGCACGCAGAAGGAACATTAGCAGCTCAAAAAACAGCATAGAAAATAGAAAATGCCCATTTATTTAAAGGAAAGTAAAGAAAAACCCACCCTACCCTCCTTTCTTTCAAGCTGCTCTCACTGGGATTGCTGAGCAGCAAAGAGCAGTCATGTTGTTCCCACTTCTGTGCTGGGAGCTGCTGTGTTCAGTGTGACACAAGCAGTGTTGGTGGGGAGCCCATAGGTGTCTGTGCACTGTGCAGCATCACCAAAAGCACCCTGAGCTACAGGTGGTGATAACGGGGATGCACCATGTCTTTGCAAAACAGCAAACTTAAATAAATACATCAAGTAACCCCTTTTCCTGATAGCTACGGGACTGTGGTACCTGTTCGGGGAGGATGCTCCCTCTTCTCCATCCCTCCTGGTACCTACATGTGCATATACATGTATATGTGCATGCCCGCATGGAGTTTTGAGCCCATTCTTTCTTGCTGTTAGGGATCACTAAAGCCTGTATTGGCCACCCCTGTTCACAGCTTTCAGAGCATGTCATGGAGCCGGACCCCAAAGATCACAATTACTGAAGCTTTGAGCCTTTTTGGCAGATCTGCCCCTATTTTAACCCACCCTTTCCCCTCCCAGCACACACACTTTACCTTCTCCTTCCCAAGGGCTGATGCCAGAGCCCTCAGACAGCTACACTGGGACTCTATGACATGCTATGAAGAGGGGATAT